CGGGCAGGGCCCGGTCACGCTGCTCGCTGCCACGTGACCCGCGCCGCTGTCCGGACACTCGCCGGTTACGAAACTCCGCGAAAACTGTGTTTTTTAAAAAACAAACACAAAAATCCCCTCACGTGCCTGAAGACGGGCAGCAGGGGACTAGCCGTTCTTCCCGCCGCCACGCAGGACCTACCCCCGCCCGCACGAGTACCTGGACGTCTCGGCGCTTCCCGCGAGCTGGGACTGGAGGAACGTCAGCGGCATCAATTACGTCAGCGCCACTCGGAACCAGCACATCCCCCAGTACTGCGGGTCCTGCTGGGCCCACGGCAGCACCAGCGCTTTAGCAGGTACGCTGGGCTCAGGCTGCCCTGCCGCCTTCTGGCCCGCCGGGCTGGCTGCCCCCAGTGATTGATAGCTGTCAGTCAGCAAAGGGAGTTTCTCTTGATCTTGCAACACAGCTGGCGTAAAGCTGAGGTGGCGAATTATTGCAGTGACTAATGCAGCAAAAAGCGAGGCCGAGATGTCTGTGAATGCACCAGCACGGTGGGAATTCCCACGCCGAAGGCCGCCAGGTTTGGTTTCAGTCGAGCAGTCGGGGGTGAGCGCTGCTGCGGTTAAAAAGCTGTTTGCAGCAGGAAGCTCCTGCCAAGCTGCGGTGCAGGGCCTGCAATAAGAAAGGGGTTTTCTGCCCCTCTTCTTGGAGGGGTGGTGATGGTAGCAGCAGTGCGAAAGCAGTTCTCACGTCTCCTTCCCTTTTCGGTACCTCAGCCTGCTGCCCTGCATCTGCAGCGGCAAGGGGCTGCTCCAGCGACCGCTGGAGATGAGGAAACAAAAGAAGTCTCCTCTCGTGGGAAGGGCCCGCAGGGTATTAGCTTCAAGAGCCCTGTCACTCAAATGATCTGATTACCACAGCGTACAGACAATCTAGTTTCAGCAGACAGCTATCAGCCTTTTCCTCGGGAAAAGGGAAGTCGGGGTTTGCTTCAGTTGGAGAAGTATTTTCTCTAGAGAGAAAACATGATGATTTGCGTGCGACAGTAACATGCTGCAGAAGTGCTGTTTGCATACGGAGGCTGTTAGAGGATTAACTGTGAAGGAGAAACAGGAAATTGGGCAGAAATGGCAAGACAAGGCAGGTGTTTTTTAGCAGGAATCACAAAGGATCCGTTTTTAAGCAGGACAAGAATACAGACATGTATGAAACCTGCCATGATGTAGTGAAGTACTACACCAGAGAAAATACAGTGACTTCTTAATTATGTAACTGTGGTTAAAACCTAATTATATACATAGGTATGCCAATATATGCATTTTTGTAAGTATAAAAGGTTGATTTTCAAAATCAGGATATTTTTTCTTAACTGCTGTGAATAGTTAAAGCATTCATTCCTTCTCTTGTTGCTGGGATGCCTCCCAGTTCTGTCAAGTATAGTTGAATGTTGTTAGTAGTAGTAAGATTACAAGTACTATGGTGGCATCAGTTAAGACTGTTAATGCACTGTGAGAAGCGGTGTATAAATACTCATCGGAAGCTCTTCTGCCAAGCGAGCTAGTTGTTTCTGACAAAATAAGGCTGCAGGATGGCAATGCCTGTCTGAGATGGCTGAGTAACAGCAAGGATATACTTCTGAAAGCTCCTCCTTGCTTTTGCGAGGGCTGTCTCTCAGAGCCAGAGACCTGGGCTGCATGGGCTTATGCATAAATGCTTACCCCTGAAAAAGCAGCTAGTGAGAGCTGGTTGTAGGACATGTATTTGAGTATTTGTTGCTGTCAAAGGCAAGAAGCAGATGTGGAAGTTTTCAGAAACTGTGACTTGAATTAGAAGAGGTCTAGGGCACTTCAAGGCTTTAAACGGATCTTACTCATCTGCATATTTTTGCTGAGTTTTTGATGGAAAAAACTTCTAATGGAAACACACAATAACAACTCAGCCTGCCCATCTGAGGTAGGTCGTGCTGAGTGCCTCGCTGTCGACAGCAGAGGCTATTCCAACCACGAGTACTGTTGCCTGCAAACAGTTACAGGTTCAACGAAGGACAGACAGTTTTAACACTCGTTGCAGTGTGTAGCCACCCACATATTCCACTAACGAACCCCAATTTCTTATCCTTACAGATCGAATCAACATCAAGAGAAAAGGTGCATGGCCGTCTGCCTACCTCTCCGTTCAGAACGTGATTGATTGTGCCAATGCAGGATCCTGTGAAGGTGGAGACCACTCGGGGGTTTGGATGTATGCCCATGACCATGGCATTCCAGATGAGACCTGCAACAACTACCAAGCTAAGGACCAAAGTACGATACCTGTTTGCTTTGCTGTAAGGCTTCATCCCAGGTTTAGCACATTTTAATATTAAAAAAACCCAGTTTCTTGGGTTTTCAGTGTAGTACCTGCTGTTTGACTGACAGAACAGGTTTTCTGTACAGGCCTGCGTGTGTGTGTGTCTACTCTAGCCAGACAGCACAGCATTAAATCATGCCCAGACAAGTTTGCACAGCTGAATTGTTTTAACTTAATCTCTTAAATCTGTGATAGACAATCTCTAATGTACTGAATTACAAGTGTCACCTCAAGCTAAACAAAGGAGAAATGTAACCTTTGTCTGGCCATGCACGACTGGAGTAGTTTCTACATCTATAGAGAAGCACATCTGAAACATTTCCTCATCAAAGCACTTATGCTATGAAATAAAGAACAGTAACTAGTGATTGTAGGGACTTTAAATGTCATTTCCAGAAAGAAATTTAGTTCACCAGAGAGAATTGCTCTTAAGTTATTCATATCTGCCTCAAATAAGTTAAAAGAAAAAAAAAAAGCTGAGTGCCATGCAATTAATTCACTTGAAGAAAAGCATTCTCTTGCACTGATGATCTCACTTTTGTTTTGTAGAGTGTAAGAAGTTTAACCAGTGTGGAACTTGTGTCACTTTTGGGGAATGCCATGTGATAAAGAACTACACTCTCTGGAAAGTGGCTGACTATGGATCTGTCAGTGGAAGAGAAAAAATGATGGCAGAAATTTATACTAATGGACCAATTAGGTAAAAAAAATCTTTTACAGTAAAAAGGAAATTGTTTATCTGCTAGTAACACTGGGATTGAAATACTTGAAACTCAGTCTAATGACTGAAGTGTCCTTCTCCATTCTAGCCTATGTTAGCAGCTCTGCACTAATATGCAGACTTCAGCTTGTTTGTGGATAGATTGAGCTCTGAAGTCAAAATGCAAGAAAAACTGGATTTTAGCCAGGTCCCTGCCCTGATCCCATTATATAAAAAATGCTTTCTCTGTTTTCTAACAGCTGTGGCATAATGGCTACGGAAAAGCTGGATGCTTACACTGGAGGACTTTATACAGAGTACAACCCCTCACCTGCGGTGAATCACATTGTATCTGTGGCTGGCTGGGGCGTAGAAAATGGAACTGAATACTGGATTGTTCGTAACTCGTGGGGAGAACCCTGGGTAAGGAAACATGGGAACAAACATGTTTGCAGAATGACTTTAGAGGAAAGGTGGTTTTTTTCACTTGCGAACAGGAAACTGCAAAGCTAGCCTGTGGACAGGAAAAGTAAAACTTTCTTTGAACAAGACTAGCAATAAAAATCAAGCCCAGCTAATCTGAAACAAGGATATTCAGCCAAAGTGACTCAAGTAATGTCAACTCAATCCCAAATGCTGCCTTTCCATGGACATGCAGGTCCTTTTATGGGCAACTGTCAACTCCTGTTGGTTGTAGGCAAAAATCAAGTCACATACCAGGAACAGATGAGGGGGATGTAAATTCACCAAAGCAGACTGCCCCTTTAAACAAGGTTGCCCTGTGAACCCAGGGTTATACTTCATCTTGAGTGAATTCCTTAATTTGCTTTTAAATCATTCACATTTGGAAGCCAGAACAGACTCAATAGCAGATGCTTCCTATAGTTATGTTTTCTAACTCACAATGCAAATTAATTCTTTACAGGGTGAAAGAGGGTGGCTGAGAATCGTGACAAGTGCATATAAAGGTGGAAGAGGAGCAGAGTACAATCTTGCTATCGAAGAGGACTGTGCATATGGAGATGCTGTACTTCCTTGATTCTATATTGTGTATCCTTCTGTTTAGGAACCACTTTGTTTGGAAGCTTCCTAGCACAACCTTTTTCTGTTTAAGGAACAGCAGTCCAAAACTCTTCCACAGTTCAACACCACTAGGCAGTTCTGCAAAATCAGCCCAGACAGCGAAACACGATGTCTTCAAAGTAAAATAAATAGAGCTGCCTTTAGATAGTTATTTACAACTTGATTTACCCACAAAAAAGTTGCCTGCCTTGGTGCATAGTATTTAAATCATATTGACTTAATCACAGAACCTGTATATGTAAATGTCTGTATATTAAATACAAATTACACAGACATACTGGGGAGGAAGAAGCATACTCAATATTTGGGTTTTGTGCTTACATTAAATTCTCCGACAGAGACATCCTCTCACAATGATGCAGCTGAAAAGACAAAGCTGAGTCTGGACTTAATATATTAAAAAACTAAATCCCCTGTTGTTTCCTTGGCCTCCTGGTGAAACAGTGTTGTTGGAAGTCTCATGTAATGCGGTTGCTTTTATCCAACCAAAATGATATATAACAGCCATTATTTTGATCAGAAGACAGTCTAAACACTTTTAGTCTTGTCTTTGCTCAAATTCCTTGCTTTAATAGGGGACTGGCTGTGCCATTTTTCTCCTAAAGAGGCAGAGTATAAATTGTAAAACCCAGAACTCTTCACTGATTTGAAGAAAGGTAGGAAATTCTCTTCCTTAAAACTGAGCCGGTTACTAAATGGCAGATCAGTGCCATATCAATCGTTACTAACTGCCATTGTTAATGGCACTTAATAAACAGACTTTTTCTCTTACATGACTGTATGTGTATTATAAGAGATTATTAATACATCTATTTTCGTACCCAACAAGCAGTCTCAGGTAGTAGACTAGCTACCCACTGCTTACCCAGGATGGTACTGCTTTTACTGGACTTTTTCTTGTGAAAAGGAGGGTTGACACCACAATCTATACAGCAACTATGATAGTTCAAACACCTCACATTAAATCACACTACCTGTACCCCCACTAGAGATGATACAAGGAGGCATCCAGCTTGAACAAGTAAGGGAGAGAAGAGACATTCATCACTTTTAAATGTCAATCTCCAAAACCTACCATAAATCAAACCAAACCTGCAAATTAAAGCTATTAAAATTATTAAGTTATTAACTTAATAGTTTAATAAGTTCCATGGAGATATGGACATGGTAGCATGACAGTACTAATTGTGGCATCATGGAAGTTTTTAACTAGTTAAAAGTCATCTAGGTGGATAAGTACAGGGGACCTCAAGTGTTTGGAGGAAGCAATACCACACTTGAACACAGAGGAAAGCAAAGGCAGACCTTGTAAATTAACCAGCTGGCAGAGCTGCAATAGACACAGGAACAAACTGCACTTGATTATCACTAAGAGATGATATAGGGCCACATCCTAAAACAAAGCTCTACAGGGTGAATTGTTTCTGTAGTTAGTTCCACAAAGGAAGTTAGGGCTACAACTGGTGTTTGTATGGAGGTGTATGTTAATTCTACTTCATACATTACGAAAAGTAGGTGTTATGCAAGTTTAAGTGGTGAGAGTTAGCTGGAATGATAGTACATCTAGTCAAAGATACGCAAAGACATTCAGAACAGTTTCTGCAGAAGCAAGTTTTGCCCTTTTCAGGCCATGCTTTAAGTAAGTTGATTAGGGCACTGCAAGTGTCATTAAGGTAAGCTCAGTCCCTGGAGTATGCATGTGAGGGCCAGGCTGAGGAAAGGGAAGATGCGCTCCCTTTTATAATAAGAATCTATACAATTGGCTGCTGTCTCAAGAATTATCATGGTAGCTTAGAGATCCCATTCGTGAATCACTGACAACAGAGAAGAACAAAGCATTTTCCTTTTTAAATTTACATCCAGTTGGATTTAAAATGGCAGTGTTGTTTAGAAAGCAGGTTCTTCAGAAAGACGTGCTTGGCAAAGCACAATGGGCTTGTCCATAACCCCCTCGCTTTTGAACAAACATTATTTGCCTGTACCAAGATAAAGCCAGCCCAATGAATGGAAAGAGTCTTAATGAAACTGTGAAAAATCTCTGGAAAAGAAGCACTTTATTTAAAAGTAAATTATAATCTTGGGTGTATCCCCCACTGTTTGGCATCAACCAGGACAGAGCAGAGATAAGTATAAAAACCAAGCAATAATGAAGTTTCTACACACATTCTTATTTTTGGACAGCAGTAGAATTCCAACGTGGTAATGAAACTTACCAGTAACATTTGATTCATCTATTTAACAAAAAATAGATTCTGAAAGATACCACTCACACAGGATTCACCTGCTAACACAAAACTAACCTTGACTGTTACAACTCCACTTGTCTTACACAAAACGGGTTTTTTCATAGCAGTAAACATGTAGGATATTTAGAATTCTAATATAGCGCACAGGTGAGAAAGGCAGTAGGGCTTCTCTGCAGCACAGAGCTAATCACAGATTCCTTCTTTTACAACTCGCAACGTCAAAACCTAGAACATTCAAGATCTAGTTTTCACAGAACGACCTGCCAAGTGTTTTTAGTAGGAACTACCTTCCCCATTCTTCAGGTTTTGTATATTACACAAGGAATCAGTGACAAATTATGCAAGTAACCAAAAAAACATTCTTTGAAATAAATCTCTTTCCTGCTATCCCCTTCAGAATACTCAGATTTACACTGATTTGTGTAGCAACAAAAATACTTCAATATTACTCCATTTTCTAAATTACCTTAACAGTTCTCCGATACGAAACTCACGGTTACCATGCAAGTCAATCAAATACCCTTCAGCCCTTTCTTCCTTGTTTTGTTTTTGGGTGGGTTTTTTTTTTTTGCTGCTGTGTTGCCCAGTTATAGAACCGTACTGGTGGAGTGTATGGCAAAGTAATGATCACGTGCTCTGCATTCTTGATACTTTCCACTGCTTAGTTCATCATAATGAAGTTAGATTTGCAATGAGCTTAAAAGGAAAAAAAAAAAGTGTTCAATACATTATGCTGATTTACCTGTTTGCATGTGGATTTCTGCATTCTGTAAATAATGAGGATTTTAGGGTGTGGACAGATGTTGTTTTAGGATAAGAATGTACTATGACAGACTATTTCCCTTCCTATTCTTTCCTTACTGCAGTGCTAGTTCTCAAAAGCAGTATTTGTCTCCAAGTTCCTCACTACTACCCAGTGATCCTTGATTAAAGGAAAACTGCCAAACACAGGCCCCTAAAAGGGAAGTTATCTGTTAACATACCTGGCAGGCATTCCTATTTGTAGCAATCCTCCTCCTAAACACTATTTGCAAGTTGTAAGAAATACAAATTGAAGCAGGTATACAAGGAACAAGCGTGACTTACCTATAAACTCAGTGACAGGATCATGTTCACCTTCTGTTTTAATAGTACCTGCAATACTTTCGTTCTCCAAGATGGGAAGGAAAAGCTGTACAAAGTCTGAGGTATATGGAGGAGCAATCACATCGAGCACCTGAAACAGCAGAAAAAATAGATTATCCTTCCAGTCAGAGGAGTAGTAGGGACACTATCTAATTCACAATACTAGTCTTAAAAGCACACAAGTAGCTGCACTTAAGACCTCTTGTTCTCCGTACAAGTAACAAATCATGTACTCCTGCGGTACTCTATCTGGTACCTTCATCCCTGCACAAGTCAGGAGTCAGCAGGACTCAGTCACACCCTGGTGAATACTGGCATTACGTACATTGCTCAGATCTCGCACCTTGAAATATTTTTGAATCTCAGGCAAGCTGATTGAATATTCAAACACATACAACTGATATGAAAGTTTACTCCTAGAAGTGGGCAAACTCGGTTTTAGCTGCTGACCTCTGTAACAAAGTATCTGATGAGAGAGATATCCGTATCGAGCTTCTCCAGGCATTTGCGGATATAGCTGACAACAGGTAGGACATATCCTCGACTGAGTAAGTGCACCATTCTATCCAAGAGAGTCTTCTTCAACTCCAGCTGATGGCACAGGGAGGGAAGAACCAACAGATTAGAACTTCTCAAAAGTTTCTGGTTTGTTTTTTTCCCCCCCCCCCCCAATTTTAATTGCTCATTCTTATTGATTCAATATCTGCTACGTTACATTTTAACCATGACCATATTCCTAAATTAAATGCCTAAAACTGCTGAGACAGAAAAAGCTATTATCTTGAAGAAGCGTAACTAATATGAAGGAATACAAACACCGAATATCTTTGAGACTCACCTGCTCCATGACATCGAGCTGCGAATGTTCTGTTTCAAAGAGCTTGACAAGAAGTTGTAGAACTTGGGGATGAAGCAGCTGATGGCATGTACTGATCTGAAAACAAGACAGGAAAGTGAGATCCTCAGAATTTCAACTTGAAAAACAATGCACCAGCCTTTATTAGACAACTTTACATTGATGCTCAGTGCCAGATGTAAATTCTTTTTTCTAAAAGTATTCCACCATTTCGTTCTTTGATGCTTGAGTTTTCCTAGCGTAAATAATGCTGAGCCGACAAAACCAAATAATTAACTCTGAACAGAAAGAGGATTCATCTCTGTGTATTTACTGACTTACTGCAAGTGATGGGCAGTCAGTGAACTGGATGTACTTCCAGTTACAAGCATCAAAGCTGTTCTTACTCTTCAGCAAGGTTTGATATTCTCTTTTACCTCATCCAATAATGCCAGATGAACTGGAGTGTGATCAGTCTGCAGCTGGAAGTATCGTGGCTCTGACACTGTCCAGTCCACCCACTTTAATACTCCCATTGCCACCACTGGGAACCTACAGAAAAAGTGATCACTTTAGCTCAGAGCATATTAAAAAACCCAACCAAAAAACCACAACACAAACCAAAAAATTCCCAGTAAATTTTAAATCAATCAATCAATCATCTTTCAGTATATTCTAATGGTTGCTAAAGTTTCAGCTTAACTTAGAGCAGAATTCAAAAAGCTCAAAAGGTTTTGCTTGAAAAGTTGCCAGCACATCAAGGGTAGTTTTCATCGAGGGGGTGTGGGGGAAAATAGGCTGGAGGAAAATTCTTTCTACAAAGACACTTCCTGCTCAGCACAAAATGGAAAAAAAAAAAAAAAAGGCAACAAAATTCATGTACACCCCAAGTTTGTTCCAGTTTCTTCAATATCTGCTATTTCATACTTTTAAGAGGAAAAAAAATAAAAGGACACACCTATTGCTAGGAAAGTTTTATTAGGACGACTAATCTGTCGTCTTTTTCCAGTGGCAGAGAAAAGCACGTTCTGACACAAGGACAAGTTGCCAGTGAAAGCCAGGATTTATGTCCTCATGAGAGAGATTCCAAAAAGTCAGATGTACAATTTTGAAAGCTGCTTTCAGGCCACATCTTCACATATGCTACAACGAGGATGTTCTCACACAGTAGCCCACAAAGGCATTTCCCTTTAGCAGTACAGCCTCTCCTAAATAAAACTTCCCTTCCAAGAACTGAAGCTTGGGATCAGTCCCTCTGCTCACCTGATGCACTGATAGAGAGTGCTCAGTTCTGCAACCAACTCTGATGCTCCTTTGTTCTCATTGCAACACAGATTGTGAACAGTTTCAATGGCTTTTGAAGTCGACTTGAGTTCATCCTTGTTTATGCTGACTCTCTTGTTCTGAAAAATTGCAAAGTTTGAACACAAGAGTGTTGTTTAAAGAAATTAACTGTAACCTGCAATAAGCCTAAGATGACATACTGTTTCTCAAAATTTAGACTCAAATGCAAGTTTCAGAAGCGGTAATTACCAATGAACTGAAGTACAAGGATGTTTGCTTTATTTAATTCCCTAAGAATGACTTTATCCACCTCATAGAATTAAATTCCTCTTCCTTTGAAGAAGCACAGGCAGTTCTAGTAGCACAGAACTGCTACTGATAGCCTTTGGAAGAGAGCAAAACTATTCAGCGCACTCAGATTTTTATAGTACTACTTCATCATCAGGATCTACATTTTTTAGTCATTTCAGCTGAAGCCAGAAACATTTCATATTAGAATAAGTAAATCAAGCTGAATACATCATATTAAACCGAGCAACTTCACAGCCATACATTTTCTTCAGCACAGTCAGGCCACTGCAGATAAAAATAGTGTTATTCACGGAACTCCACATTACCTTTTTCCACATCTCTACCACACTAGCTGCATACGCCAGTATGTGAATATATTTGTGTTTGTGGTCCTGGTTGATCTTAGCACCTGGCTTAAACAATGACTGCATGAAGAGGTCCAGAAAGGCAGGTACTCGAATCTGTGAGGAAAATTAATGGTTTGTTAGATCCTGAGAATTATGAGAGCCAACTAAACATACAGGTTTTGCATCTAATATACCTTGCATAGAATGAGATATAACACATTCCACCTTGGAAGGCGGTTAGATTGTGTCTCTTCAGAAAACTAACTTTTGACAGAAATAAAAAAGGAACCAAGTTACAGACTATATTGCTACAGTATCTAAATGCCACCCACATTAGAACAAGGCAGTGAGAAGCACGAAACATACCATTCAGGCCTGCTTATAACAAACTGCAAAACTGGGTGGGTGGTTTTTTTAAAATCATTTTTTATTTTTGTTAGAAGTTAATAAATGCCTTGCCATCTTTATCTCCTATTGAGAAGTTCTTTAATTAACTTAATTATACGTAAAAAGACAACTTAGAATGATTAAATATCAATCAAAAAGCTAATGCAATATAGAATACAAGCAGTAGTTTCATATTTAGCTGTTACTTAAAATTATACAGGGATGAGTCTGAGTGCTAACTCCTATTTTGTGTCAAAACAACATTTAGCACAACACCACCTCATATTTTTGAGTGCTACTGTAACAGAAGTAAGTTTCAGAGGTTGTAAAAAGATCACTACTAACCAGTTCTACTGGAGGTGGGTCCATGCTTGTAAACATTTTGAATAGGACAGTGATATCTGCTGGATTCAGAGCTCCCTTGGACAGCATCGCACCAAGAGCCTGACATGCTCGAGGATAGGAGGCTGCAGTACCCAGCGCTAAAGTGATCTGACTAGCATCGTGGCCTCTAGAGGAAGAGCAAACACACACAGCAACTTATTTTCTTAGTTCAAACATTGTAGTTTCAGTCTCACTGAGTCACCAGGGCACATCCTGTGGAATGTAATGCCTTAGAACAGAACCCCTTACCCTCAGTAATTATAGAAATAGGCCTGCATTTCCCTTGTTTCTTTCTAAAATGTTTGTAAAATAATAAAAATGTGTATTTTTAATAGACAGAAACTTCAATTCTTTGCTCTTCCAATTTCAGGTCTCACAGCACACACATTGAACTTTCCTGTTCCATGAATTAAAGCTAGCTACAAGAACTGTGCTGCTGCAGCTAAGAATTCTCCTTTTGCTGGTAAAAGATAATCAAGAATAAGCAAAAGACAGCCGTTTACAAATTCTGGTGACTTACGTTTCACTCATACTATAACTCCCACTTACTTCTCATGAGCGTATCGTTGAACCTCCTGAGCAATCCGCCTGACAGCTGACCCTCCTTGCTCTTCTTGAGCCAATATGGACATCATAGATTGAGCAAAAAGGTAAGTGTGTTCTCCATGGCACACCATCTTCTGTGAAAGCACATGTTAAAAAAATCTTACCAGTCAACAAGAAACATGCAAGTATGCTTCTGTAATTACACTGCTATAATAGCAATGATTTCACTGAAATCTACCAATCAAAAGAAAAAAAAAAAACCAAAAAAAACCCAAAACAAAACATGAAACTAAACAAGAAAACCAAAAACCCAACAGCCAAGAAGAAAGTACAGAAAAACATAGTATCACTATGCATTGATACCCAAATAGAGAACTTAGTTTCTTAAATGCCAAAATCGAGAGGAAACTCTATCCTACTTACACCCAACACTTTCTCTGCAATATTTAAAAAGTAAGAGAAGGACGAAGCCATCCAAAAGTCATTACAGTCTTTCACAACACAGAACAGATGCTGGGTTGATTCAAATGGGAACTTTCACACTGATGTGGATGATAAAAGAACTATTTTAATTTGCCAGGGGACTGACTAGACTGACTTTCAGATCTTGCATTAAATGTGAAAGGCAGCAGTTCTACCTTCCCCTTTTTACAATCCATTTAATAAACGTAAGAAGTGTCATCTAAGTAATCCAAGGAATTCTTGGTCAAAGAATGATCAAAAAGCATAAATTTATATTGTTTCACTCTGATACACCATCTCTTTGTAAGATTTCCTAAGACTTGATAAGATGTCAAGACTCTCTACAATCCTGCAATGATTTGCATATCCTAACCAGAAAAGAAAAACAACTTACAGCAAACTCAGGGAGGTTTTTTTCAAGGTTTTCTTCTCCTCCATCTAAAATTGTTGCCAGAGACGTACGCAGGACTCTGGAAAATACTTCTAGTTGCTGACATGCTGTTGAAACACTGGTTATTTCCCCCTGATACCCAGCATCAGATATAAGCTACAAAAAAAAAAAAAAGCATCACAGAAAACTTTTTATTATTTACATTTATATTTCAGACATCCCAAGTAGTCTAGAAAAAAAACAAATTAAGATTTGCCTCTGCATACACTTACTGGAATTCACATTCCTTTTGCTACATCTTTATTGGTTTCCTTTCCCGTAGTTTAAAAGATGAAAGTAAACCACAACAATATAAAAATATTTCAGAGCACAGCAAGATATAACATTCTTTCCCCATCACAGAAACATACAAAACTGACTGAAACATTCCACTACATTAGAAATCCAGAATTTTCAGATATAGATCAAAGGAAAACAAACCAAACAAAAAACCCCAACCAAAACCCTCAGAAAGCGTGACCTCAGACTGGGAAGCTACACTTACTACTTGCAAGCTGTAACACAATTCCTCCCACCAATGTGTACTTGCACTGTTCTGACACTTGAATAAGCACTATTAACAGGAATATATTCAAGATACAGGCAAGACCACAGCCAATATTTGATGCCAGAACATCAGCCCTTTATGGATATTCTCACTTATTAGACTTGAGCATACTACCTTCACAGTAAAATTAAGCATTAAACAGTCGGGATGGGCTTCTGCCAACTTGTAAAAAAGATCTCTCCACGTGGTATGTGCTATCATTTGCTCGAGCCAGGCTGGAGTCTGAAAAAGATTAGAGCAATAGAGAGAAACGTAAGAACATCTAGTTGTCAGGACCATTAAAAGTAAGCCTTTACCTCTCAGAACTTTATTACAAAGGAGAATGCATCCAAAGTTTCCAAATTCTCTAAGACTCTGAGGACTCTGATGAGATATGGCTGGTTTTCTGAAACCAGTTGTTTCTTAACCAAAGAGCTCTGAAGATACAATTTCCCTTCCCCCACCATCTACTACTCCATCAGATGAAGGCGTCTATGTAAGATCCATTCATGTAGAGATAGCAACACGGATTCCACGCACACCTCTCCTTCCTCTGTAAAGATGGAATCTGCTTTCCGAGGGTCAAAATGCTTGATAAGTAAGCTCTTTAAATGGTTTTCTACAGTCTCCTGAACTTGCAGTGGCTCAACACCTGTACAGAAGGAACAAAAAACTTGGCAGATGCAATCCAGTCAAACATGGCAGCAACATCTTAAACTTTTCAATGAGATCAGAAACTACTCAGAAATTTATCAACACAGAGGAGAGGAGAACCATCAGTTCTACTATCAAGCCACACTGATGCAGACAGATTTATAGATTCTTTATCTTTTTTCCTAAATGCAGTGTGCTTAGGATCATAGGCAGGTCACACTAGTCCTTTTCCCTTGCTCTCTTCATCAGTCATGCAAACAGCAATGCCAGCCGTCTCACAAGATCATTACTGGGCGCAACACCAAAATACCTGGATTACCAGAGTTAACGCACAAACCCACCTTACTATAGACTAAAGTTCATCCTTTTCATATATTGGCTATCAGAAGCTTTGACAGTATACCACAAAACAATACATGGAGAAGTAATAAGTAGTTCCACGTTTCTGAGATCAGAGTATAGTAATTCTGATAATTTGTTTACAAAGTTTATACTAGCTAAGGGACAAAGATACCACAAGATAATGCTGAACACAGCTTGCAGGAGGCTGCTGAAGAATTCATAAGGAGACTGGTAATACAGAATCCTTGTCTCGGAGAATACAGGCATCTGTATGACAATCTGCCCTCTAACCACTGATCCACTGAAAGGGAATAGTAACTAGTAATAAGGTAATTGTTTTTTTCTATATTAATTATATAGTACTATTACAAAATATCAAATATTGTTAACACCACCTCTGTAACAGTATTCTTGCCTTTGTGCATGGAAACAAAGAGAAACTGTAGTTTATCAAGTTGCTTCAACTGCATAAACATATATTACCCTTTATAATACAGTTTGTGGGCATTTCAGAACGTTAATCAACAGATTACCTCACTTACTCTCTGTGTGGAACAAACATATCATTATAAAGAATGTAGTCACATAGACATACAGGATGACAACTTTATATCCCTAAGCAGGATCAAATTTGCCACCAGTTCAGATATTTCTGATAGAGGAAAGACTATAGACCCAAATCATACTGTATCACTTACAGTACCTGTTTGAATGAGCCACTCTGCCAGCAAATTTACAGTCTGTGCCACTGCAGTGTAGTTTTCAGAGAGGAGCTGGATGACGTTCTCTGGAGAACCTCCTGCTTGGAAATATCTGATGGAAGGATTGGAAAAGAACTATTTGAAAGTCATAGTATAAACCAAAACCAACCGAACTCTAAACAAAGGGAAAACGATTGCATCATTTATACATTTTCAGCCACGCTTCCACAATAAGTTGCAACACTGCACCTCTAACACACATAATACACACCATAATGCACACAAGGTTACACCCACCTCTTTAACGTGTTAAATATAGACGGCTCCATTATATAGTCAGGGGTTGAAAATTTCTTCAGGCATTCTTGCTGGACTTCGGCATCATCTTCTCCCTCCCCATCCTCGTCATCTTGCTGTTCGCAAGCACAGTCAAGTCAGCCACCTCTCGTGTCCTGCTTTTCCCCTATACTCCCGTATTTAGGTTATTTTGCCCCACAGAAACTCACACACCTCGGTTCACCGCAGCAAGCGACCTGCTCCCCAGACAAATACGACTTCTTAACGGAGAAGGCACAAAAACAAGCGCCGCCTTGCAGTTGTTTTCCTCCTCCTTAACCCCCTCAAGCCCCAGGCCCCACCGCAGGGAAGACTTCCCCGCCCGCCTTCACGCTCGGCGCTTTTCGCCTCAGCTCGGAGCTCAGACGCGGCTGCCCCCGCCCGTAGAGCGAGAGGGCCCGGGAGCCCCTTCGGGGCCCACCCGGGGGGAGACGGCGTCCCTCGGGAGAAGCCCTCCGCCCTTAGGAGCCGCGCGGGGGG